TTGCAATTTTATTAAAGATTTTAATTTTTTCGTATTTTTTTAATTATCTCTCTTTATTCAATATTGTTTTTTAGTATCAATATTTGATTTCACTTTGTAATTTTTAGTTTAAAAAGTCAGATTATTAGTCACTTTACCAAAACTTGCTTTACTATTTTTCAATTGTTTCTTATAATTTTGATTTTATCTGTTTCTTTTTGGTTTTTGTTACAATAATTTTTTATACCAATAAGATATTTTTTATTATAATTTATTTTTGTAAAGTATTCGAGTTTTTAAGTTTTAGATTTAAAAATATATATTGTACTAAATATATATATGTATTTTTTCCATATTTATTTAAATTTTTTTTATGTTTACAAACTTTTTTTGATTATTTTTTGCGTTGGACTCCAAATCCAAATCTCCAAATTCAAGATGGACATATCTTTCGTACATATGTATGGTCGTACATACATTATTTAATAAATAGAGATAAATAATATACTATTTCGCATCGAGTTCCTTAAAGAATAAAAATAATCTAGTCGATCCAAAACTGGAGTGTTCTTTTGCGTCGAATTTCTTTCTGCACTGTTACTTTTTCAGTTAAGGTATTTTTTTTTTATTAAAAATTCTGTGTTTGGCGATTGAATTACGGGTCTCTTCCACTTTTTTTTAAATTAATTATCAGATTTATAGCTCATAACATTATTTCTTTATTTATATATTGTACAATATTTAATTTATTTGCTTTCTATTATTTTTTATTTCAATTTTTTTAAATATTTTTTTAGAACTATTTTGCTGATTTGTGTTATGAAACTATTATACATTTTTGCAATATATTTATTTTAAATATGCTTTTAATATAATTTGTTTTATTATTTTATTTTAGGCTATTAAAATTTTTTTTTTAATATTTTTACTTTTTGTAATAATTCATTTAATTAAGTAATTTCGTATTTTTTCAATGCCTTTTAAATATATTTCCATTATTTTAGTTTAGACTAGAGAATTATTACTAAATGTTTTAATTTATTTTTTTCGAATATTTTACTTTTAGTAATTTTATTTTATATTATAGAACTACTACGCAATCTTATAAATTAATTTTTTTATTATTTGATTAATTATTTTTTATTAGTATTATGTAGTATTGCAATTATATATATATATATATATTTTAATTTTATTTATATTTTTTTTCAAATTATTGAATTGTTACGTAATGTTTTATTTTTAGTTTTTTTTTTTTAATATTTAATATATTATATTTTGTGCTATTATATATTATATTAATTATGACGCAATCTTATAATTATTTAATTTTTTTTATTTATTTTAAAATTATTTAAGTTATTGTGTAATGTTTTATGATTTTTTAATATTTCATAAATATTTTTGTTATTTTTTCATTTTTGATTTTTTGAATTAATATGTAATCTTTAGCAATAATAAATATTTTATTCAAATTTTTAAATTTCTTTATAATAATTCCTTGAATTATAATTATAATATTTTTTTTCAAATATTATATATGGTTTATAGTAATTTTTTTTATACCATAGAATATTACGCAATCTTACAATTTTATTTTTTTAGTATTATATTTATAACATTTTTTTTTATTTTAAAATTATTTAAAATATTGTGTAATGTTGTAATATGTTTTATGTTTTTTTAATATTTTATAATTTTTTTTTTTAATTATTATGATTATTATGATTTTTATTATTTATTAATATTTTTTCAATGTTTTTCATTTTATTATTATTTTTGTTTTATATTATTAAATTGTTACGTAATGTTTTATTATTAGGTGTTTTTTTCAAATATTTTATTTTAAACTATAGAAATATTACGTAATATTGTAATATTTTTATTCTTGTTTTTATTATTTTGTTCAATATTATTGAATTATTCTGTAATTATGAAATAATTATAAATTATTATTTTTTATTATTTTCTATTATTGCATTACTGCCCAGTATTGTAATTTTATTCAATTTTTTAAAATAATATATTTTAACTTATTTTGTTATTTTATTTAAAATTATATTATTACTTAATCTTGTAATTGAATTTGTTTTAAAAAGATTATATTTAGTATTTATTAATAGATTTCTCCAAAACATTGTTCATTTCTCGCGATAAGCGTGGGAATTTGGTGCACATTTAACTAGCACACAGGCTATTGACGCTACTGACACAGTTTTTGCACCTTCTTTGATAAGCAACCGAGCTTATCAGTGCCTAACACTGACCTAGGCTAAGGCCTCGGACGATTTCAAAAGACACCAAAAATAATTCACCACTTTGACACGCGTTTCAGAGCGACAAACTTCAGAGAGGCATAGAGCAGTTTGAGTAATTTAAAATAAATAAATTTCTTTTTTTCATATTTAATAATAAATAAAAAATCAAATGAGACTAAAAAGCTGCTTTCATTGATAAAGCGCGGCGCTATCTAAACCGGCGGCCGGTTGGCCCATCACAACACATTTGTATGTAAATAAATTCTTTCCGATCTATAAATATGTATGTCATCAGCTGTTCATAGTAACTGTATATATGTTTGTTTGGCAGCAGAAAAGCAGCTGATAAGAACGCCGAAAAATTTTGAACACATTTTAAGTCCGAGTTCCGAGTTCCAACACAGCCAGCGACGCAATCAAGCGGATGCGTCTACAAGCGGATAGCGCCGAAATTTAATTTTAGTTTCGCTGCTTTCGTTTAGTTTGGATGCTTGATAACATTATGAACTTTTTATTAGCAAAATAGATGACTTTATCACAAAAAGCTCGCTCACTGCGCCAGCGAATGCAAAGAACCCAAAGTTTTTGTAGCATAATTGAGGAAATGGTTGAAGATTTTTTTTTTTCTTAAATTAGTAAAACTTATATTTTTAGCAACAATTTTGAGAAAAATTTTCACAATTTTATATAATTCAAAATAGAACACAGTAACTAATTGGAAATCAGTTTAAAACCCATCAGAAGCATCAAAAATATCCTTCTGTAAACTTTTGTGGTACAAAAAACTTGTATTTCCTCTTTAAAAACTTTTTCAAAATCACGTTTGCTTATAAAAATATATATCGAAAACGTTTTCAAAAATCACTTTTTTAGTTTAAAAGTACTGAAAATCAAAAATGAAATGCCTTGCACATATATTCGAACACAGTGATGTCACTTCCGGTTGACCCCGTTAACTTTAGATCGCTTTAATTGCACTTTTCCCACAATTATTTTTCATGAAATATTATTTTTCCACGTTTATTTTATTATTATTTATCCACAAATATCTTTTTATGAACATTTTTGCTTGAAAAAGTGGATTTTTTTATTTTTTCAGCTTATCACCTAACCTCAATCAAGCACTTCTCCAGCCATTCACTTTACTTGCACAAAAATCCTTATTTTATTTTCCGAATCCACAAACTGAAACCAACGGCCGACGAACACGAACTGAGCCAACGGTATTTGAAGTTGCATTTAGGAAGCTCGAATTGATGTTGCGATCTCAATGACGATCACTTTAGTAGAGCGCGTTGTGGTTGGCGGCTTGCTAGTGTGGTGAATATGAGGGTACTTAAATAAGCTTAAGAGCGTGAAGCCTATGTTTTTAGGAATAGAAAACTGTGATTTGGACTTATGTATTTTTTTAGTTAATGACATTTCTAGCGTGCAGTAACAACATATTCTAGATGATCGGACTCCTCACACATACCGTTCTAAGGAAGGTCAATTAAAGAACAACTTTATGGTCTACAGACACAAGTTCGTCTTTGGGTTTTCTAACACTAGAACAAAGCATCAATGAAGATTTATCTAGCAGCTCTAAAATATATTTGGAGTTCTTATTAAACACTACTATTCTGAAAGTAATAGCCAAGATGTGATGCGTAATCGATTTAGATACTACACCTTTAAACTTCACCAGTCCTATCAAAAATATAGTAGCTTTAAGGTTGTTACTTTCTACCGAGTGTCATTGGAGAGAGACTACCACTGGCACTCTTTCCTGGAGCCGATATTATTAAGAGAATTTAAGGAATTCAAAGTCTCACTGGGCCACTAAAAGTGGAGGACATTATACTTAAGGAGTACCTTCGTAGGAGCACAATTCAATGGTATACAGACGGTTTCGAAAACGGCAGATGGAATTATGGTTGGGGTGCGATCACGTACCAAACTATCAGTGAAGTTCTAGAGAAAACTAACACGGGGTACGAATTGTCATTCTCAGTGATAGTCAAGCGGCACTTCAGGCAATCTCGTCCGTTTAAATAAAATCAATAATGGAAATAATCTAGCCAATCTACTGGCGAGTCCGGTAGGACCGGCCCCGTTCTTTGCTGTGGGCCCACACACCCTACGAGAGGAGCTACGGAAAGAAGACGGAAAGAAGAAAGGGCAGGTAGAAAACCTAACTGGCAACAAGTGCCTGGGCTTCGACAAAACAGTTCAAGAAACTAATTTAAATAACAATCAAATTCGGCTTGAAATCTTTCGTCAAGCAATACGTGCTTTAAAAATTTTTGGAAAACATTTAAGAACACTTAAATAAACTCTATACCTATCTTAAAAGAAATTTGTTCAGCTTCCGACACCATTTCATTCGAAAACAAGAGAAAACGTTAACTTCGGCTGCATCGCAACTAAAATACCCTTCACCGGTCAGTTTGTATAGCTGTCAATGGTATATGCTATAGTTGTGCGATATGAACAATTTCCTTGGTGATTGTAGCCTGCTTAGGAGAGATTTTCTGCAATTTTCAAGACATACAATCCTTCGGACCCTCTGGACGACTGCACTCGAGCTCATTGGTTGAAAATGTCGCTATAATTCGCCAACAGCGGGACTTACTAGTTGTCTACTTCTCCCTCTACACTCTTGCTCCACCAAACAAAATGTTATCGACCACATCTCAGTTAATCCAATATCTGTTAGACCTCCACACCACCTCGTGCTAAAAACACTCTGTACATTTAATACACGTAGACATGGCAAAATAAATTAAACTTCATAAAGTTCAATCAAAAAATTTTCATTCATTTCTAAATTTTCAGCCCTTTTAGCTGTATCTAAATTTCAAGTGAACTTATTTTCTTTAAAAAGTTAAAAAGTAAGTCTTTTTTTTGCAATAACCATTGTTAAGAGTGACCAGCCGTAATGATAATGCGCTTTCTTTTGCAGAAATTTAAAAAACACGTCTCAAAATGTGCGACCCTTGCTGCTCTCCCTGCGGACCGTGTCCATCGCCTTGTGGCCCTTGTGGGCCGTGCGGGCCCTGTAGCCCCTGCGATCCCTGCTGTGCACCGTTTGAGGTAAGTCAACGTCGTCAACACGCTTTTGTAAATTTCCTTTGCCTCGAAATTGTGTAGCAAACAGAAATTTCACATTTTTTGCTCTTTCACTCCAACAACCAACAACAAACAAACGCAAATCAACAAATACTAATACAAAATAAAAACTGTATTGGAATAACAACTCACCACTAACGGCCAACAACTGTATTATACGTGTGGAAAAAACGTTTGGAATAATGCTGGAACTCATTTTAACCTCAAAATGAACAGTGCTCGCCAAAATGTTATACAGGCGCCCATTTGGACGCGCTACCGCAGTGTGCGCCACGCGTACCTCCGCCATGCCCGAAATGCATAACAGTACAACAACCGCCACGACTCATCTGTCGCAAGCGCGTCGTCTTCAATGAGAAAATAGTACCGGAACCGATGGTTGTTAATCGTTGTCGCCAAATAACTATACCCAAAGTTGTGGATACAACACGTGTCATAAAAGTACCCAAATTAACGTGGGTCTCACAGATGGTCCGTGAGCCAAGGGTCATTTACTATCCATCGATGGTGCCCGATCCCTATGTGGTTTGCTATCCGAAACGTATATGCGAACCGCGCGAAGTATGCCAAGCGATATTATGCCAGCCGAAGCCGCAAACAGTTGATATACCGCCGCCACGTGAATATTGTTGCTATCCCACCGGACCGATTAATTACAAGCCAAGTGTAGCATGTCCACCATGTCCCATGGGACCGTGTTCACCGTGCGGACCTTGCGGTGCATTGCCATGCTTTTCAACCAATCAATATCCGATTTGTGAACCGAACGGATGCTTCCCGTGCAAGCCGTCAGGTCCTTGCGGTCCTTGTGGACCTTGCTCACCGTGCCGCGGACCTTGCGGCCCTTGTGGACCTTGTGGCCCTTGCGGACCTTGCAGCCCTTGCGGACCTTGTGGACCATGTGGACCATGCGGACCATGTGGACCTTGCGGACCTTGTGGACCTTGCGGTACATCTTGCTTCGTACCAAATTGTGCACCATGTGGACCTTGTGGTATGCCTCCCGGCTGCTTTGGTCCCGGCGGTGGAGGCGCTTGTGGTCCATACGAGGCGGCCGATGATGAAACGGCATTCGCATGTCCGACAACGTCAGCGAACGGTTCTTGCGGACCATAAGCGTTTTACGCACGCCATTTAAATTTTGTGGCCCATTGAGACCACAGAAAGCAATTTATGCAAACCAAACAAACTTTTATAGTATTAAGACGAATGTTTTAGAAATAATTAATTTTGATATAAATAACTTTTGAGAATCGTTCACGTACCAACTATACATACAAGCTTGATATGAGATTATATATTTCGGATCAAAATTTTACTTAGCCACTATCAAGGTGAGTTTCATGTCGAATTTACCTTGATGCGCGCAAACCTATCAAGGTGGATTCTATTATCGTGAAACCCACCTTGATACGGTTTGCGCCGTTCGAGGTTACGATAACAGTATGCTCACCACCACCAGTCTAATGAGTGCCATTTGTTCTCTTCTCTTCCCCGCACACACACGCACACTGTTTTCCCTTCTTTTTCCTCTCTTTTTTTCTTGTACTCCACACACTTCACATATTTTAGCCTAGAGCGTGTCGTAGTCGCGAATTACGTTGTGGAATTATGTACACTACCTGCGACTGTATCAAAAGAAATGGCTTGCAAGACAGATGTCCGCGATCGCTTTGCCAGGGGCGAGCTGCATGTATGTGCTTCCCCGTTCCAAATTGCTGTCCAGCCTCGTTTCCACTGCGCTATGCCAATATGACAATGGGTGTGAATAATAGACGAATGCGTTGCAAGGAAACCGCCGCATTATGTGCGCGAGCCTGTGGTGGTTGTGCACCGTGTGGCCCATCATGTGGACCCTGTGGTCCTTGTGGTCCTTGTGGGCCGTCATGTTCTCCATGTTGTGATACTGCTTGTTGTGGTGCATCGAATCCACCATGTGGTGCACCAGCTCCGATACCATGTCCACCGGCACCAGGCTGTTGTCCACCAATTGTGGAAGCTGGTGTCCCAAATCCGTGTGTGTGGAATTGTAATAATACGCCGCCTACATATCCATGTAAGTATTCTAATCAATTTCGTTTTTATTTTTAGTTCCAAATTTGTTTTTTTTTTATGCTTTTTGGAGAGTGTATAACGGTGTCGAATCAACATATAGTATAAAAGCGGTTACATTTCGAAAAGTACTAACATTTCATGTAACAAACCCATTTTTTTAAGATAGTTCAGTATGACCACTATGTGGTTCTCGAGTTTTCTCTGTAAAATTCAGTAGCCAGTAGCTAGTGTGATTCCGAAGCTACAAAAGGAACCGATCGTTTTTTGAATTTCCACAGCCAAAAAAGTACTGTTCCGGAGCTACAAAAAGCTCACAATAGTACGACCTCTAAAGCTCTATCCAGCTTTTATAAACATTTTCAGATCTTGCCACTTTTTTCCAAGTTTGAATTTCAGTGATCTTTACTGTGGTTATCCCAGTCTATGCGTTCTTTCCACTACGGTTGAGTAGAGAACAAATCCCAGATTAATCTCACTTAATATTTCTTATTCAATCTCATCAGTTTTCCTATTTTTAAATCCACCTTTTTCCACATTTCTTCTTTAAAGGTAAATTACCTTCAGGTTTACGTATAATTGGATTTAGCTATGGCTCTATGCCAGAAAGTCAATATACAATGGGTCAACACACCGGTATATGTTATCCCAAACGCCGCTCGTGCAAAAAAGTCACATACTCTCTTCCAAGCAACAAATCTTCAAGCTCTTCGCGTAGTCGCTAAAGTGTGAAACCTCGAAAATGTTGTACACTTTGTGAGAAGACCCTGATCGCTGCAGCGATTCTTTGTGAGAATGTCTGTTGATCAAGCTACGTGTACCCGACACTTATGATATTCGCTTTAAATTTGATTTAACTTTTTAATGAAAATCGCAAAGTTCGACATTCAGCAGAGTTGTATCGTACCACTACCTGTTGTTGCTCTTCTCTCTCGTTTTTACTGTTGCTCTCTTTCTGAGTTTCTTAGCGTTTTGTAAGTAGTTGTTGTATATATCAGCATATTAACGTATTCTCTCTATTCTCTTTCTCTTCTCCAATACAGGTGGTTTTTAAATATTATTCTAAGGAAGGAAGCTAAGGCAGATTACTTTTACGATTGTTAAAGGATAATGACAGCAAAACATTATTGTTGTTGTGTAATGAATCCAATACTCGCGAAGGCATCGAAATGGAAACGATGTGGACGCTGCAGTCCCATTAAAAATGTATGTTATATATGAAAAATTCCACAAATACGAAAGATTCCAATCAGAACACGTTAACATAAAATGCGTACGCAAAGAAAAAAGTACGATGTAAAATGAAGAAAATACCGAAAGAGAGCAAGAAAAAAAGGAAGTGAGGAGTTTCATTAAATTCAGTGCGAGACATCCTTTTCACGTATAAGTACTTTGACAAACTTTCGAACATTTTTGTTTTTCTATTTTAATAAAAGCTTGGTAGTGGCTATTTTTATTAAAACTCTAATAAAATGCAATTTTCCTTTCGGCTCGACTCGGAATGCTTGATATTTTTGTGGTAAGTATTGAACTTTATGAGCGTGGAGCTTTAGAAAACTACCCAGAAGAGCAGTACACCCTCTTGAACTTTATGATCCTGGAACTGTATGACACTTCCTAGAAAGTAGTACTCTCTCAAACTACTTTCGTATGGTGGTTAGGAGTAGAAGAACCTCTTTCGTATAAAGACTATAATCCGACTGATAATCGAAGATGGATTTTGGAACCATAGGTTGGAACTTTCTCCATTGATAGAGAGAAATCTGCGACTATAGACCAAGCCTGACTATTCTTTCTTATATAAAGTAGAAAAGTTCCTTATTGTTTCAGGTACTTCTAGAAAAAAAAGTATTTTTACTAGAATTGTAATGAACTGAAAATTGATATCAGACAACTCTTTGGGCAAATTTGTTTAATGGAGGTACGGTATATTGTCAATGTTTATACCCTGAACAGGGTGCATTAAGTTCGCTATGATGTTTGTAACACCCAAAATAAAACGTCGAAGACCACATAAAGTATATTGTGTACAGACGGTCATCGTGACGAGCTGAGTCGATTTAGCCATGTCAGTCTGTCCGTCCATCTGTATATATCCGAACTAGTCCCTCAGTTCGTGATATATCGAAATGAAATATACACAATTTTTTAAAGTCTACCTTAGTCGGGGTCGAGGCCCATCTCAACCCTCTGACGTACTTTGAGTACGACACCCGACCACAATGCGACACCACATTGAGCTGACACAAGGTCAGTTCTTCCCGCATTTGGGTTTAAACCACAGACACCACGAATCTCCCCGAAGGCCCCAACCGAATGAGTTGATTTAAGCTAACTCCGAAGGCTTACTGCTCCCCGTAGTAACAGAATAAAGTCTCCGGTCAGATCTTGTAGCCGGTGTGACCCACCTATTCAGCTCATGATGTTTAGCTTGTACTTCAAATGTCTTTTCATTAGCAGTAATCTCATTCAAAGTGTCTTAATTTCAGTTCAAGTTGAATATTACAGAACTATTTTTTGACAAGACAATGCTTATATTACTAAGGTAAAGTCCTTACACAAGACATAGTGCATTTTTGTAGATTTTAGTCGCCTTCTACAACAGGCATGGCGTACCACGGGTACATTCTAAATCCCAAACCCGTTGGGGGAGGCCACCACAATAGAATCTACTTAAGCACTTTGTATTTAGAATTTCACTTTTCACTACAAACTTCATTGTATATACTAATCCATAATCAATAGAACTTAGCTGCTTAAATCATATTATGAATGTACAATATATAATATAAATATACAAAAATTTAAGGTTTCAAATAACTCTTCATCCGGCAGACAGACTTCAATGACTAAACTCTAAATTATTCGTCAAAAAAGCTCTCCAAACAGCAGCGTGGCCAAGTCTCCATTCCAATTTTAGGAGTTCAAATAGTAGCAGCTCAACATGTGCAATCCTGGCTTTAGTACCTGGCCTTCATGTGTCGGCTGTGGTCTGGGTCCATGCCTACTAAATGTGCAATACTCAACTTTGAGTTCATTATGCGCTGAGTCGGGTTGTAAAACTTGTCCTTGTGGCTGTGGTAGACCATATGCGTTAACTTATTCGCCAACATTTGGATGCAGTGGAGAACTTATAAGAAGTTGCGTACCCTTTCCACAAATATGGAATTGCCTCTATACACCCGCTTCATACACAGGTAAGTTAAATGAAAACTATATATGATATATACTTTGGAACTTAACTTTATAATTTTTAGCTAACAAAACAGGTGGTTTATAATTGGTGCAGTATGAAGCTCACGGATCTGCGGACTGAATCAAATTAATGAGTTGCGGCATAAATATGAACTGCAACAATAAAATCCAAACATCAAATTTATAAAAATAAAATGTATCCACTTTTTACAAATAAAATTTCTTTAGTTGAGTCATGTTAGCTATATATTATTCCGGGGGATTAAGCGGGCTGTTACTCAGTAAAGGGTCTTTAAGCTAGATGATTTCAGAATTTTTTAAGACCCAACAATATCTAAGTTGGGTTTCTTCATTCTGCTTTTGAAAGAAACAGGAACTACCCACAATTGAAAAAAAATAGTTTTGAAGCTTCGCAATATGTGGAATTAGTGGTATATCAACGAAAAGAAAGATATCTAGTACTAAATTTATGTATAAAACTATACATAGATCAGACTCTATACATTTTCGTTGCGATTTGATTGTTAAAGTTTGACTGAAAGCTCGTTGGAACGCTCTAAGTAAAGTTTACTGTTCTTCCATTTTTCTTTCAAATATGCATAAAGCCGCAACAACGGACGTAGGACTAACAAAATTTGTTACTGCAGCCAGAGAGGGTGAAATATTGCATCACCTGCCAGCGGAACTTTAATTGGACTCACTTGAGTTCTTGGGTATAAACTTTCATTTTTACGGAGATTCGAACCAATTTAACATACTACTATTTTAGGTAACCACGCTTCTATTAAGAAACTGAACTATCAATAAAAGGCACAGGAACTTCTATGGTTAATAAAATCCTAGTTATTGCTGTTGGTATGTACTGCTGAAAAAAAGTATGTAAATTCCCATAAACACTTCAGTAAAACGTTCCTCTTTTAGTTATCAACAGACACAATTGTTTAACAGCTTAATGAGACCAAAAATAGACCGAAAACTACATATTAGTCTTAATTGTACTTGTTGCTTAAAATATCACTTTCCGGAATAACATACAAATTTTAATCAAAATTTTCCAACTATCATATTTTTTCATTCAGATCAAAATTTTTAAACTAAACACTTCCAAATTTTCTGTGCATTTTTCTTTTAAGGCAACTTTTTGAAGTAAGTGACATGGTTTACCACAGCTTCCAAACAGATAGTAATTAAAAATATTCTCTTCGCAGAAATTCGAAAAAAAAAACAACAACATATCAGAATGTGCGATCCATGCTATTCTTGTTGCGGACCTTGTGGACCATGTGGCCCTTGCGGCCCATGTGGACCCTGCGGCAGCCCTTGCTCGCCATGTGGACCGTGTAATCCATGCGGTCCCTGCGGACCATGCTGTATACCCAATTGTGGACCATGCGGTTTGACAATGCCTTCGGGTCCATATGTACCACCGCCGTGCGATCCATGTTGTCTAGGTTGTGGACCTTGCGGGCCACGCGGCCGACGTAGTCGTCCATGTGGACCCTGCGGACCGTGCGGTGCCTGCAGTCCCTGCATGCCGGGATGTCCATACGAAGCGCCCGAGTGCGGCACATGCTATCCATGCGCGCCGACACCGTGGAATACACAATGTGGCCCATGCGGGCCATGCGGTCCACAAGTACCGTGCGCACCATGTGGACCGTGCCCACCATGCAATCCTTGTGGCCCGTCGTGTTAAATATTTACATATATACATGCCTATGTATATGCTAGTCTTGTTTGCGATTAATTCGATTTTGATAATTCATTTTAATTTTTTTTTGGAGAAGAATGGACTTTTCTAAATTGATTGAAAGTATGCGAAACCAAATTATCTAAAAAGTATTAAAGTGATTAACTAGCTATTATCAAGGTGAGTTTCATCATGGCGAGTTTACCTTGATGCGCGCAAAACTGTCAAGGTGGATTTCGGCTGCGTGAAACCCACCTTGATAACGGCTTTGCGCGCAACATGGCTTAGCAAACGGTGGTGGTCACATACAAAGCGGCCGTTTACTTGAAGTACTTTGTTAAATTTATTGATATTTTGGTTCTCTGTCTCATTTTAGGACCCACACGCGATCGTCCACGCGGTATACTCTGTGGCATACATTGCACATGCATGTGCGTTAAACGCAATGGATTACAAGATTTGTGCCATCACTCCTTGTGCCGAAGACTTTGTTAGCATCGAACGCTAATGTCTTACGTAAGTGCGTATCGCGGAATTGTCAAATCTGAGCGTGCCTTTCACGAACTCTTGCTTCCTTTTAGATTGATGCAGACAGGAATTGTAAAGAGACATGTCTCTAGGACGTACGCCGATGTTTTCAATTTCTTTTGACTGTGTCGTTTACGGCATCCCCTCCATCACTCTACACGCCACTACATACAAAACTGTGGTTTCAATGATGTAAAGGCAAACAGCATATAGCACTGTGATAAAGGAAGCGAAAACAATTGCAGAGTAAATGAAGCGAGGTTGATGTTACAACTTTTGGCGCAGACATAAATTGCCAAATAAATTGTGTATTTGCTTTTCCTTAATGTTCGCATTTAAACAGAGATACATCTACATATGCATGTATATATGTAAAACAACAAGATGCAACCGAAACTCCTTGTAAATGCAAATGTTAATAAAGTACTAGATGGTGGTTTCCTTCTTCATTGAATAAAAAAAAAATATTTGTTTCACTTGTTCTATGTGCCTAAAGACTAACGTAAATGAATCTGCCTGTTCGGCTGTCTAAGAGACTTGAGTCGTTATTCACGTAAGCAGCCTTAATTTGTAGGCATGTTCCAACTAGCTGGTTCAAAATTTAGTAGAGGTATGACTTGCATGATAAGCGAAAGCCTAATATGCAAGCTTAACATGTTGGCAAAGCTGTCGGCGAGATTAATAATTTATCAACTTTTCTCTCATTTATCATCCTGGGGAGATATGGTATATCTCACTCTAATTTATGGTCGGCTTAAGAGTTCTCCCATGTAATTAGTCCTACCATAAGTTCTGTTACAAGTTCAGGCCGTTATAAAAATACAACTATGTTAGTGAAGTGAAGAGGTGTAACGCCTTTACCGGAGACTCCCCCCAAACCACTTCAGCAGTTGAATGGCGACCACGTTGAAGCCTGCCAATAACATTTTTTGCGTCTTTGGAAGTTGTTACGTAAATTTTGTCTATTAAAAACTAAACTAAAAACAGTTTAAACTTTTTCATCACTTTTATGGCCGTTCACAGCGTGTCACTGAAGCAGCCGCTTGCATCTGTTGAGCATAATTTTCTTCAAGAAGATCACCAGTTGACCCACGGTAGGATTTCATGTGGAGATCCTCTCCTCGTTCAAATCATGCAAGGATGACCAGTTCTCTTTTTGTCATTCTGTCATCTACTGTAGACGTTTGGAAAAAACGATCAATGAGGGGATCACTTAGTAGGAAATTAATTGCCTCTTCGACTTCAAACCATTGAACTCCCTTTTAGACAGGTAGCAGAATCCAATTCAACTCACTCAGATTCGGGGTTGTTGATTTTAGCATTTTCAGTTATTTTACTGCTAAATAATACGCAAATCCGTTGTGAGGAAACTTTAGGTTCTAAAGCACAAATCCCATCTTATCTATTCTTAAATGCTGGAGTCCTATCATACGTGTTAAAAACTATTTATTTTGTAATGAAAGTCCTTTTTCTCGAATCATCCGGAATTTGGTGTCGCATAACACTCCTAAATTTTAGAACTCTTCATTTGGTTCACCAATTGTGGAAAAAAAATTACACAAAAGAATATAGTACTTGTTAATTAAAACACTGTACTTGTATTAATATTTGAAAAGTAAGCAGGTCATGCAAAAATGTTCAACCCGGAAAATATTTAGTGAAATAAATTTAAAAAAATTCTCATTCCAAAACAATATTTCGGCTAAAAATCAGCTACCAAATTTCCGTTGTAACCAAAAGTAAGTTGATCCTTCAATATATATTTTTTTCAGTGTCCGTTTATATTTTTCTATATATTTTGGATTGGATTTTTATTTGAATTCATTGCTAATTATTCGTGTACCGTTAACAATTATTTCGCATTTCTTGCAGAAATTAACATAACATCAAAATGTGCTGCGGTCCCTGCTATGGCTCTTGCTGTAGTCCCTGTTATAGCTCGTGCTGTAGCCCCTGTGGGTCGTGCTGTGGTCCTTGCGGACCCTGCTGCGGCCCTTGTGGACCTTGTGGCGGCTGTGGCCCATGTGGATCCTGCTGTGGCCGTTGCTAGACGTCTCTATGCCGCTTTTGTAAGTACAAAAACAGTGAAAGCCAGTTAAAATATGTTTTGAAATTCTTTTCCTATATCACTTCAGTCCCAATCCAGCTTCTGGGATCTAGAGAACCACTAATTCAAAGCGGCTAAATGGTAAATGAACGTCGAACGGCAAATAGATAGGTGATTATTTCATAAATTCAGCCACAAATTTTTCAAAAAATAAATGCTTTTCTTCTACTCTTAGCTAAATTGACTGTGATCCCAAAGAAAATCAGTGTTATCGATGAACGTGAGCAACAGCGGACCAAGAAAGTTCTATGCAGCCATAAAAAATAGCTAAGACATCACATTTTTTTGGTTACATTTTTCTTTTTTCTTTTTAATAAAAGTGAAACTGCTTTTATTAAATCGCGATTTTTTCATTTTACTTGAGGTATGGAGAGGCTATACAAAATTTAGACACGAAAACTACTCAAGGGTGCAGTTAAACATTTGGCTTGTAGATTCTGCAGTGGTTTTGCGAAGACTCGGCTTTGTTAAAGTGAAAGATTTTTAGTATTTTTGTTGCATTATTTATGGAAGTTGATGCCTTTGAAATGTGGATCAAAAAGTTCTTGAGCTAGCTAAAAGCAAAACAAATCAGTATTTTCAGTTTGATATGTTTTTCAAAGTTTACGAAGAGTATGAGAATGGTCGCGGTAGTTTAGATCAATGGTGAACTCAACAAAAGTTAAGTACAGCCAATGCCCCTGTCCGTAACGTCCGAAGGCTTTATTTTATAAGGAACATTAGGCTCGTTTTAGTTCCAAAACATTTCCAAATGGGAAGACAGAAAAAGATTTCTCCCAAAGGAAATGGTTTCCATTGGCGCATATTTTGTTATGTAGTGTTCTCGATATCCGCGGCTATTATTGGGGCATGTAAGAAGTTGTATCTAGCTTAAGGAACGGTTGCGAACAAATCGGCGGTAGATTGAACATGTTATCGCAAAATCATTGCGATAAGCTTATGGAAAATCATATCTAGAGACTTTTGTTACATGTCTTATGAAACCAACCGTACTACCGACGGTCTCAAACAGTCGCTTATCCGCTGCATCTGCTTTAAGATTTAGCGAGATAACCTACGGTATAGCATACTATCGTAGACCATCCCAAGCCTGGATTTAAGTAATTGTCACGAAGAAGAAAGAAAATATAACCACATATTTATAGACCGAATCAAACTACTCGTTAGTAAGGAACCGAAATCTTCGCAGAGTTGTAAACTGCAGAAAGCATTTCGAAGCGTTTCTGAAGATGGCAAGTAGGGAAAGCGGACATTTTAAAGACATTTCTCTGAGCAGATTTTTGTGAGATCTCATCTTTCATCGAAGTGAAAATTCAAAATCCTGGAATACAAAGTGGTAAAGTTGAGACCTTTACCATGTTTAAGCTGGTTGAACCTGAGTACAGCCAGGCATGCAGAACTTATGCACTGATACACTTGAACTACTTGGGGAAAACATGTTCTCACCGTAATATCCATCTAAAATTTTCGACACTTTCAAAACAAAAATTTCAAAATCATTACAAAACTTTTTGGCTCAACGAACGAAAGGAAATTTCCAGTCTATACTTTTTTCAAAAGCTAAAAAAGTAAGTTCACGTTTTTAATAAGCACCTTAACCAATGCAAAGTCTCTCTAATTCTCTAAACATTTTAGGCCACCTTCAAGGTAAACGCATACAAAATGTGTTCTGGTTGTAGCCCTTGCTGTAGTCCTTGCTGCTCGCCATGCGTTTGCCCCTGCAGGTACTTGAAGTGTACGGACTTCTGCTGCCGTTGGCCATGCCCATGCAAGGCTCACTGCTATAATACGCCACCCAAGTGTTGCTGCTAAGCAGTAATATTCAAAATGCTGCAATGGAGCTTGTCATCGGAACCTATTTTAGTCAACTATATATACTATGCTTTTGGATTAAGAAGTTTTATGTAAAAATAAAGTAAAATTCTGGAAAACATTAAATATTTAGTAATTCCAATAAATCTGCTCAAGACCTCGACATAAAGTGGAAAATTTGTCTATTTTATCAAGAACATTTAATCTAGGTATGGTCGGAATTGGTCTTGGGATCTTAGCACTTTGAAACTATTCTAAAAACCCATTTGGGAATCGTAGAAAAAACTCATTTCATCTTTCTTTCATTACCTTAAATTGGGACCCTTGAAGTTTCTAAACATGAACCAGAGGATTTTGGAATGAATAACAGTTTTATGACAAAAGCTTCATCAATGAACCCTAGCAAGGGTTCAGAGCTTCGGTACTTTGACATTGCCGAACCTTTAAAGAGTCTTATATGAGTCAAAAAGTTTTCGTATAAGTAGAAGTTTTAAAACAAAAGCTTTATCAATGCTTTGAAGTTTTAATGAACCCTAGCCTTGTTTAATAATCTGCGGCAACCCGAAATTACAGATTTTGTCTTCTCATAGTCATACCACATCATTTACCACATCTTTAAAGAGCCAGACGTGTAGTAAAGAATTACCGAACAAATATGGTACAAGTTCTAAAGCGAAAGCTTCCTCAATTGGTTGAAGATATACTGGACTCCGAAACCACTTTATACGCAAGAGACGAAACATCAAAAAGGGAAGCAATGGCTTAATTGTCAGAGAAATGTAATAAAATTTTCATTACAAAAGTTTTTGTTCAAATTAAAACTAAATCCAAAAAAATTTTCCCGTTACAATCCATTTGAAAAAGGTAAATATGTTTGGTAAAGACATAATAAATTGTTTGTTGACTTACCACTCACTTTCGCCAACAGCAGCCCCAACCCAATTGAAGATGTGCGAACCTTGCGGCTTTTCCGTTGCTCCGTGTGGCCCTTACGGACCCATAGGACCATATGGACCGATTACCGCTTGCGGAGCGCATGGTTTTTGTGGACCGCCTTGCATACCGGATTCGTCACCGAACCCGCCCTGCTGTCCCTCACCATGTCCACCAGGCTGCTGTCCACCACCATGTGATCCCTGCTCCAACTGTTGTCCAAATCCATGTTGCCTCTGAAATTGGATTGAATGTTGGTGTCAGCTTAATATAAACACAAAAGGAGTTTTTCATGCATGTTTTGAGTTGAATTGGGGCGAAAAAAATTTGTTGATATAGGCGCAAACATATGTACATGCATAAGACCGTGCGTGTTGAGCTAACGGTCAAATTTTGTTTTCAGTTGTACATGCAGTAGCGAGGGTGTAACTTTGTATGCACTGAATTCATGAGTGATCGCCAGCGCTCTTTGTGTTCTTTAGTGCATGTAAAAACGATCCATGTCTTATTAGAAATTGTAACCCAATGTTTTGTTTTTGGTAATAAAATTCTTGCAATAGTCGTATACGAAGCCTAAAAACGATGTTTTATTGGAAAAAATTGAAGGTTATAAGCTAAGTAAGAATGAAAGTAAACCTACATATGTCTGCCGACATTCCGGGCAACTTCAAATAAATGGAAAATAATTGTTTTCGCGATAAGCCTAGATGCATTATAGACAGAACTCCATAGTAAAAGGGATTCCTACCAATTTACGACTAAGGAGTTTAAACTGCCACAAAAATCTTATTGATATTGAAAGCTCCGAAAATGGGAAGAGTGACATCTGTAAATATCTCAATAGAACGGTGCTGGCTATAACCTATAAAACCGTGAACTCATAAGCTATAGGATAAGATCAAAGTTACAGAGCGAGCTGTATTATGTACTACACACAAAAGGTCAGGCCAACATTGGCTTCAAGACGGCTCATACGAGTATCTTTAACAAAAAATCTGAAAGCTAGAGGAAAGCAAGTAAAATAATTTGGAGCAAGGATATTAATTCGGTCAGACATCACAATAAAAATATCAGTTGATACGCTTATAATGAAATCTTCTGTGTTAAGCAAAGAAGTAATCCAGTTCGACTTTGAAGTCTATGAACTTATGCATGTTGCTGTGGCTGACTCATTTGCAGAAAACCTGAGTTGAACTATTCGCTTCCATCCCATCTGAAACATCGATAGAATATTTAGTGAGAACGAAAAAGCTACTTCCAACTCATCAAAGGTTGATTGTATCGCTAGATATGAAGAGAAGAGATTTTTTTAGAATAGTCCCAACAGATTTTAGTTAATCTGCCTTGACTTTATGAGTCTTAAAATGGTCCTGCTGTCTTGAATGGAACCCTTTCTTGGTTGGTTGTTTGAAATGCGCAGGAGCGACGGAGCGCAGGCGGCCGCACTCAGCCATTATTAGGCCCATTGTGCTCGCTAGTGGTAACCAATTAAGGCTTCTCGAGCAACTCAGTGAATTTGGTAAAAAACCTCATTTTTTCCACATCAGCTTTTAAGCTGGAACATTGGGAGCCGTGGAAGATATCCTGTCTCAATATTGAACGTTCGGGGTAGATAAAAAGTTACTAAGTTCCCTTAGCTTTTCTTTACTCAAGCTTTAAAAATCAAGCACCGGACATGCCTGCAAATAAGTGTGTTCGCCTTCAACGAGATGCCCTTCGAGTACAGTACATTTTTCTCAAGAATAGAATAAATACTAACCCGAAAAGCTAAAATTTAGTAACAGCGCCCCCATTTCTAGTTCACGCGGCGAAACACCTAAAAAGCCCTGCCGAGATACTGACGCTGCAAAGTGTATTGAAAGTTAAAATATATTGCATACCACAAGCAGGTAGCCTTGTATTCTATGTCAGAAAAAAGTTTTCAAATCATTCATTAATATTTCGGCTTAGCAAGAACACTAAAAATTTAAAGTTTATATTAAAAAAAAGTAGGTTACAAAATTACAAGTTGGAAAACATTTAATTTAATTTAATTTCTGTTTTCTTAACTCCCCTTGCGACACACACAGCTCTTCCACTTGGAAAACGCTCAACCCAAAATGTGCGATCGCTGCTACAACAATAAAAATGGCTCGTCTACTTCCGCTTGCCAGAATGGCTATTGTAATACATGTTGTCCTAATGGTTATTGCAGTCGTACACGCACACCACAAGGTCCAAAACCAGATCCAACGGCCTGGACTGGGCCCAGCCAGTCGTTTAGCCGTGAATCGCAGTCAAATTGGGTACAACAACAACGTTGGGCGTGACTAACAACGCGGCTGAGGCAGTCACAAAAATTACATGAGATTGAAAAGCAAAAACCAACGAAGCTATTAGTCTTGGAATCGGAATGCAGTCTACCGCAAATGTAGGTGACGCTGTAGCTAAACGACGTGGTCAACGTTCTTACATGCTCGTATTCTGTCGCACTTTCTCTTTTATTATGTAGCTCGGCGAAGGTTATCATAGCGCCAGAAAGTGATCCACCACCGAGAGTGATGATTATGCCAAACGATTCGAAGGAATCCTTGATGTATGTATACTCCTGATAAAAAAAATATATAACACACTACAAAATTATTGCATTCAACACAGCTTCAGACTGGATTCCAGCGAGGATTTAAAGAAACCAACAAAGCTTATGATCATTCCATCTAGAGTTTTGGAGACGAGTAAAACGCTTAAGTATGATGTAATTAAAATGACGGTTTTCTAATGATCCCAAACAACGGGCTTACACTCGTCATTGTAGGCATCTAGATGATAATATAAAACTGGCGTTGGACTTTACAAGATCTATAGCGTGTAGATTTCCATCGCTCATGCACAAGTGGAAAGTCCATTTTTTATTATCTAGAGAGCTAGCCGATGCGGTGCGTATGGATCCCGGTAAATTCCATCGGCCACATCTCACTTCCGCTGTTAGACTTGAAAGTCGATGCGGTGCTAAGACGAAACCTTCACCACAACAATCGCAGAGAAATTCAACGCTGATGTCGAGCAGTCTACCATGTCGCCAACTTCGAAAGGGTTTGCAAAAGATTGTCAATGATTTTAAAATAGTTTACAACAATGCTTGAAAAAATAAAACTCACACCTCAGCCATATAGGAAGAAAATATGTAGTTTTTATGGTGCTATTAAGTAGATCGGCCATCCAGGGGATCAGTCATTTATTTTAACAGAAATTGTGTTCTTCTTTGAAGCTTTTTTTGACATCAAGGATCGCAACATTTGCTACGGATTCTAATTGTACAGAGAAATGTGCACGCTTTTTAGTTTTAGCTCTTTGTGTAAAACGAGAGAAAGGATTATTCAACCGAGAACGAGTTTAGGTTCTGTTCTAAGCCTCGTATTAGTTATACTTGTATTCTATCTATTAGAATATGCTATATAACCTTATGGAACTTGTAGATAAGTTGGAATATGTCGTGCCCAGATCAATCGACCTAATGCTACTTGTGATGTAAATCCTGCTCATTGTTGCTGAATTGCTCAGCTAGAAGAAGGAATATGATTGCGAGTGTATACTATGAGACTCCAAGGTGTCAAAAAAAATAGCAAGAATAAGTAGTTGATAGCCTGATTATATTTCGCGAGGATATCAATTGGGCCGTATAGCAGAATACTTCGCCTACATCTAGAAAATCTTCATTTTGGGAATAGCGCAATCTCGGAATCCAGATAGCACATTAAAGGACTGTTTCACCCAGCATTAGAAGGTTCTCATTTAACCATTAATTCGCCAATTCACCGTTACCTTAAAAGCTGGATTAGCAGAAGTGACCACTTGTTCCAAATTCATTCCCAAGTGCTCAGTGAGAAATATTTTATTTGTAGTATTTGTTTTTCAAGAAAAAATCACTCAAATCATTCAAAAACTTTTCGGCTTCTAATAAACAACAAAATTACACGATCTTTTCGATTATCATCTTCAAACTAACAGGTATGAAAACAGTTGTAAATATACTTGCAAGACCAGCAACTAAATACAAATTTACTAATACAATAGCCTACTTGGACTACACTGCTCAAAATGTCTTATCCCTGTTGCGGTTGCTGCGGCTCATATGGTTGCCCGACTGGCCCTTGTGGCCCCTGCGGTCCGTGTGGACCATGCCGACCAGGCGGACCGTGCCAACCCTGCGGACCATGTGGCCCATGTAGCCCCTGCGGACCGTGTGGCCCATGCAGCCCCTGCGGCCCTTGTGGATCATGTGGGCCTTGCTGTGGACCGTCGTCATGCAGTCCGTGCTCACCTTGCGGTCCGTGCGGACCTTGTGGTCCCTGCTGTAGCCCCTGCGGTCCGTGTATAACACGCGGTCCATGCGGCCCTTGCGGTACGTGTGGACCTTGTTGCAATCCATATCCGGGCTGCTGTGCGTTCGGTTGTCCATGCTCCAAATGCCCGAACCCATGCCGATATCTGAAACCAAAATACTAAGGTAACGCGCCAACTGGGCGTCAGTGGAGTACAAAACTTGGGACTGTGTGTACAGTGCGGGATTGTTGAGGAACGAGATAATATAAATATGTAGACATATGAGTTGAAAATTGAATTTCAAATGCAACAATTGCTGACAAGTAGTGGCGATCGTTGGACAACGAGTCGATCAAGCGGTTAGATAATATATTTCAAAGAATACGTCTGCAATTGCCATATGTCGTTTTGTTCATTTGATATTTTGTATGAAGATATAAGAGAATAAAAAAGTACACCTTGCAAAGGTTGATTGAAAATTAAAAATCACCGAGTAAGTGAATTAATTGTCAAAGATGATTATTTTCAATTCATAAAATTTCAAAATTTCCGAAAGTAAACCACACCTCATTGGCACGGAGAATTTTTTTGTTAGAAATTTCTGCGCTAGCTAAAGACGTGAGTAATTCGTGACATTCGGAAAATAATTCTTAATATTTCAAAAAAAAATTTTTTTTTTAGACTTTAACAATCACCTAATGCAGTGCCCTTGCTGGTGCTACCGACCGACTCCTTGTGGTCCTTATGGCCCCTTCGGTCCATGGGGCTGTATAGGACCATGCGGAGCCATAGGTCCATGCACGCCTTATGGCGCGCCGTGGGGTTCGTGTCAGCCATGTGGCAGTTCGTGTTGCGGCTCTTCGTGTTATAGACGTAGATGTTGTTAAAAACAGTTACAAATGCACACGAGTGTATGCAGAAAAGTAAGCAGGTAGTGATTAAAGAAACGAAGCGTCGTTTTGGGCAATGAATTGGGTGAATTGAAATGGCAAGTGTATTTCGTTACAAACATGTGAACTGCAAGGTGAATGGAACAAAAGGCATACAAAAAAATCTTCATATAAAATGTTTTTTAAATTTTTGAGATTTTGTAAATAAAATTGTGCAAAATTCTCAAAAACATAAAAGTTACGAGTTGTTTTTTTTTTGTTTTGGATATACTATTGATGATTTTGCAGTGTATTTTCTAACAAATTCTTTATTGATAACGTTGTCTAACGTCTTTGAATTGTTTGGGTTCCAATATTTTTTACAATTTTTAACCTAATCTCGACTCCTTTCTTGATTGTTTTATGCCATGTAGTCCAGACTATTCATTTCTTATTACATCTCGTTTCAGGTTCTTTCGCACTTTTTCGAGTTTTTTAACTCGCCGTACCTGACTTCCGTTTCGAAAGTCCGTATTGTACTCATCAGTTGCAATATATTCATCTCATCTTATATCATATCCTCTAGTTTCTCCTATGACATTTAGTCATGCTTTCTCTTTTTACTTATCCAACCTCATTTCATCTCATTTCCGCTTATCTGATTTCATCTCACTATAGCAGTGTACATCGCTATATCTAATTTCATGTTGTCTCCTTTTATCACGTATTCATTCCCATAATCTTATTTCATCAGACGACATCGCAGTACATCTAATTCAACGCATTCGATAATAGGAATTATTAAGATAGCAAATATCCTTGCTTCAAACTCACTTAACTCCTCCTCAACCCTCATTATACTCTGAACAGGTTATATCAAGTTTACCACGAAGTTTGTAACAACCAGAAGGAAACGTCAAAGACCCTATAAAGTATATTTACAAATGATCAGCGTGACGGGCTAAGTCGGTTTAGTCATGACTGCCTTTATCTCTGTGTATACGCAAACTGTAGGTCGAGTTTTTGAGATATCGTTCTGAAAATTTGCACACATCTATTTTTTGGCAAGAAGCTGCTCAATTGTGGTAACCGTCGATATCGCAGCCTTAAAAGCTTAAAAGATAGCTGCAATAAAAACTTTTTGATCAAACACAACTCTTCGTATAGAGATTGAGCATAGATTATTATCGAAGACAACGCTACAAACTTCAAAAATATTGCTCAGATCGGAACACTATAGCTTATAGCCATTCAAACTGATTAATCGAAATCAAGATAAAGATCTTTTTATGCTAAAATTAATAATATTAAAATAGTATGATAGAAGGACCTGAAAGACATAACGAAGGAGGTCTTTCATTAAAAGCGATAATTATATCAACTGAATCCCCTACTGCATTCGCTCAGAGTTTACCGACCAGAAAAGGATTTGAGTAGCAAAAATATTACATCTAAACATTATTAATAGTTCTAAAGCAAACTGATCTCATTTTTTTATGGTCCTGAATTTAGCTGTGTTTTAAGGTATGTCATAAAAGTCCAAAATAGCTTGTTTCTAAAATAATATCTGCTAGGTATTAAAACGTAACAAAGTCTAACTACTGTCGCTTGATTTATTAAGGATCTAACAATTAGGATTCTTTGAGTAAAGGCTTATACTTGTTTTTGTAAATCACTATAACAATAATTCACCAAATATGTACATTGAAATAAATTTCAATTGAAAATTCTATTTTTCATTCATATTAAAATTTTCGTCAGGAAGCAAGGCCAGAAAAAAGTTTTCGTTTGTAATTTTTTTTGTTTCGCAGAAATTTCTAAATTTAAGTTGTAAGTAAAACCTCTATTAATAATGTTATACAAAATTTTCTAATTAATTTCTATAGCTTTAAGAAATCGTGCGAAGATGTGTTATTCCTGCTGTAGTCCATACTCCTGCTGCTCGCCCTGCTGTGGGCCATGCAGACCATGCGGACCTTGCCGGCCATGCTGCGCACCGTGTGGACCGAGTGGATCATATGGCTCATGCCTTGATTGTCGTAAACCCTGTGGTGAGTCAAATATTTGTCGACCCACAGGATGTTTCTATTTCGGTTGAGACCATCGTCGCGTACACGAGTCATGAGAAGTGTGTTTGCGAGCCATCTACGTCTAGTGCGTCCATTGTTGTTGCCAGCGTTGTGCTACAAACACCGAACGTTTTGAAATTTTTGCAATAATAAATGTTACAGAAAAATCGATTTTAGAACAAACACATTGTACTGAGTGAAGTTAATGTGTTGTAAACACGAAAATTGGCCAATAAACATACACACGTTTTGACATCAATAAAATGAGATGAGTTTCGTTTTTTTTTTAACTGGTAATGTGTGGAAATTTGATTACTACATAAGACCTGGGGACCAGCGAATGTTTACTTTCCAGAATTTCCTACACGAAATAGTGCTAAGACGTGTAGAAGCTACACTTCTGAGATTTTCATTTAATTCGCTGATTGGGGCGATGTTTGATAATGAATAAGTCCCGGATAGTTATCCTACGGAGTTCCTCAAACTTAGGTTCAGGTTTGAATCAAGATAGTCTACAAACAGATACAGATATATTGATTCATTCTCCACTTAGTGAGCGCAGTGCTAATACTACAAAAGAATACATTTTTCCTCAACATCGTCTGTTTTTAGCTGGATGTCGTTGATCCCCCGATGCTCCAGCTTCTTTAACCATTTTGAGAGGACTACCATTTCGGATGACTACAAAATAGGTTCCGTTTACATCTATCTTCATCTCCACTGAGAGTTCGCGGTCTTATTCATTGGTTTTGTATTTTAAGTTCCGAGTCCGAAATCCAACGAAGAACTACAGTGTGAAGAGCAGTAACATTACCCTCTGACGGAGGATTTAGTATCGTAAACTCCTTGGTAAGCAAACTCTGTTAACTAGAGTGGACTCTTAATCCGTACAAGTTAGATCATTTTCCTCACTCCGGAATCAGAAACTCTATAAGGATTAGTTTTTATCTCACGCAAAGTTTTTTCACATTATTCAGATTCCGTTGAAGTCTCGGTACTGATTAAAGCTCCGAATGACGTACTCAGAGACAAAATACTTGTACTATCCGATCAAAAGTGTAACGGACTGGTCCATATAAACTTAAAATTAGTGTCTGTTTGATACCTGTTTGCTTACGGCGCGAAAAGTTTATCTGGCGATTTTTACCTTGAAAAAAAAAAAAATTAAACAAATAACTTTGTTCTTTTTGATGGCATCACGGTCACGGAATCATTAAAAATTTTCCAGAAGTGTTTTGGGCAATCTTCTTTATCACGAACACAAGTATTTGAGTGGCACAAAGCAATCAGTTTAGGTTATCGTCTTACCACTTGTGTGTCGTCCATCCACCTTTGTTAATGACGATAACATCAGAAAAGTTTAAAAAAAAAGTCGCCGTGTTGGCATCAGAGAGATATAAGATGAACTCAACATCTCATAAGGATCGACCCAACACATTTCGATTTAGATCACAAAGAGATGCTTGAAAACGTAACTGAGGACCCTGCATTCATCAAACGCATCATTACTGACGACGGGACGTGTATTTATGAATATAACATCGAAACTGTTCAACATTTTATCAATTGGGGTTCCAAAAATGAGCCGAAACCGAAAAAACAAAAATTCGCTGAAAGCACTGAAGACCAACCCAGCCAAAGCTTAAAGTGTATGATGTATTGCATTCTACTCCTTATACCTCAGACAGCATTTAGATAAAGAGTTTTCGAATACATAAAAAAAATCTATAAAAATAACTGAAGCCTAATGCAAAAACCGATGTTTGGATAGAGCCAAAATATAAACAATATTTCTAAGAAAATTCTCCAGGGCAGATGTAAAAATAAGAAAAACAGAGACAGAGCAAAACTTAGATGAATTGATGGTGTGGACAAGGACGCTGAAGCGATGGAACTACGATGTTGGCGAACTCAAACAAGGGACAGAAATAATTGGAGAACTAAGTTGCAGCAATCAAAGACCCGCATCGGGTTGTGGAACTAATAATAATGTTTCAATTTCTAATGAAAGCGAAATTATTGTAAAATGACATAATCTGCAGAGATTGATTGAAATATGTATTTCTCTGAGTAAGAATTGTTATTTTTGTAAAAGTTTCTCTTCCAGTACTAGGAACCACCTATATATGTATACAGAGATGAGGACATCTTAATCGTTGTTCAAAACAGTTTTTACTTGTCCACGGCACTTACCTACCTAAAACATTACATTAAGCTTTCGATTATAAGCTTTTTATAGCAAATGCTTCTATAAAATTAAGTTTAGACCATATATACATACTTGTGAAAGCGCAGAAATGGAGACTCAAGTGCAAAAGCGAAACTACTAAAAGCTCTCTTGGGCTTATCAGCTTCAAAATGCACTAAAATCAAATTTAAAAATTGCTACTGATTAGACAGACAATAAAGGCAAAGCCAGCAGTCTCAAAGGGCAAGCCACATAGTGCAGTTTACATACATATGTAAATATCCAGGTGAAAAAATATCAAAAACTGAATAAATATTTGTCAAAACCACCAGAGCCAGTTATGTTCAACATATTTCTAGCGCTAAGCCTTAGCCTCATAGCGGCTGTCTACTGCTGGTTGCGCCAGCATTTTCGCTATTGGGAAAAGCGCCGAGTGCCACACATACCATCCACACTGATTGTGGGCAATATTTTCGATTTACTCCGTTATCGTTGCTGTTTCGGCGAACAATTTGAGCGGCTCTACAATCATGAAGCCGCCAGCGGTCAAGACTTTGTGGGCATACATGTGCTGCATAATCACGCGCTGCTGCTGCGTGACCTTACGCTCATCAAACGTATACTGGTAAGCGATTTCAGCGCGTTTGCTAGCCGCTTTGAACGCAGTGACCCGGTGGGCGATGCCATGGGTTCGTTGAATTTATTCTTTGCAGAATACGAAACATGGAGGGAGATACACAATATCTTCTCGCCGTTGTTTGCTCATGGCAAGGTGAAGCAAATGTATTCGCTGCTGCAGGAGGTTTGTCTTAGAACCGCCAATTGTTTTCCAAAATTAATTATATATATTTTCATTAAAGATTGGCCGTAAGCTGGAGACGCATATGCACGCTTGGAACTTTACAGATGACGATGCGTGCTCAGCAATCGTTGAGGTAAAGGAGTTGTGTGCGCTCTTCACCACAGACATCATATCCTCACTCGAGTTCGGTATCGACGCTAACAGTTTGGCGAATCCGCATGCTGAATTCCGACGCATGTGCATTGAAGTGAATGAGCCGCGTCTTAAACGTCTACTACATCTCTTCACCATTTTCTTCGTGCCGGAGAGAGTCCAGCTCGTCCGCGCCCATCTCTACTCAAAAGAGTATGAGATGTTCATGCGCTCTTCCATTGAGTATGCGATTGCGGAGCGTATGCGTAGTGGCAACCAACGCAACGATCTCATCGATATATTTATAGCGTTGAAGCAACAAGCAGCCGACGGCGCCAAAGACAGCGTGTTACAGCAACCTGATTTCTTTGTAGCACAGGCGGCATTCTTGTTACTAGCTGGCTTCGACACCTCCTCCTCGACAATCACATTCGCGCTTTATGAACTCGCCAAGCATCCAGAGTTGCAGCAGCGTTTGCGCGCCGAGTTGCGTGAGGCGTTGTTGAAGTGTAATGGCGCGCTTGACTATGAGACCATTTGTAATGAGCTGGAATATATGCGCATGGTGGTCGATGAGGTGCTGCGTTTGTATCCAGCCACTTCATTTCTTGATAGGCGTTGCACCGCTGAGCAGGGTTACTTGCTAGGGCAATCAAGCAACGACTATCGTATTCCTAAAGGCATGCCGGTATATATTTCGGTGCTCGCTTTACATCGTGATCCAAGAGTGCGTATGTCGGCTTTGTCTTAAACATTTATTTTAGTTTCTACTTCCTTGCAGTACTGGCCTCAACCACTTGAGTTTGATCCGGAGCGCTTCTCACCGGAAAACCGAAAACAACATGCATCGATGAGTTATTTGCCCTTTGGTGCGGGTCCACGCGGCTGTATTGGCTTTTTACTGGGTTTGCTGGAAGTTAAAACGGGACTTGTACATATTTTGAAGAATTTTCGTGTGGAGACTTGCTCGCTCACTTTGCCCGAAATGAAATTCGAGGAGACAGCCTTCGTTTTGGCGCCAAAGGGTGGCATTTATTTGCGTTTTGTGAAGGATAAAATTTACTGATGAGAAAAAATGAGTTCTACGAGCAATTAAAAATGATTTGCTATTTAAAACAAACCCTTTAGGTGTTTCACTAATTCGATATGGGCTGTTTAGTGCTTTGTAAAGCATTTCGACCAACTTAATTTCTGTTTTTCTAGTATTCCTAAATTTGGTTGGTACTTATGAACGATAGAATAGAACACAAGTCTCGCATACCGCTAACTGCGATCTAATTTTCATCCCTTTACATTTAGTAAGAAATGCGACCCTCGATGTATTAAACATCACCGTACAACAAGATCATGTTTAACGTGACTTCGATTTTGCAGCAAGCTCGGCGTTCTTAATTTGAAGTCCAATATTCCAAATTTTTGCACTTTAGGCCACCGTCCTTCTGTGAATCCTGATTTTAGTGTTTAGTAATACTTCGACAACTCTTCTGTATTGATTCAGACTTCTTCGTCACTATTGATCTATTATGTAAGACCACCGTCCGCTTTCTATCTCTAGCAGCTGTGATCAATGAACCCAATCTTTATGGGTAAATTTCAAATGCTTAGAATGTTATCGAAGAATAAATTAAATAATTTCTGGTTTTGTTTTACATCTCCATATTTGGAGCGTCATATGAGTAGTGATGGTAGGAACGTTTTTACCAACAATTGGTTGAAATTTTTTCTTTTTCTCCGAGTTCTAAAGATGTAGTAACTTTTCTAGGATCCTACCACCAAATCATAAACCTCCACGGAAGTCAAATTAAACGAGATTTTGCTATATAATTTTTTCTTTGTATGGAGAGTCCAGGGTTAAACCACTCCAATTGTGGTTAACTACCCCGATTTCTTCATTTTAGTTTCAATAAGAAGACTGGTCGCATTTGCTGTCCAAAAATTATGTTTTATAAAGCTGATATAGTCCGTCTTTTTATAACTGTACAACACAAACTGGCGTTAAAAAGTGTGGGTTTATTATTCAGAAATAGGAGTATTCAAAAAACTCCGATTTTATTTATGGTTTTTACACATTCATTGGAGAACTTCGAAAGAGTCAACACTGAGACTATTTAATTCAAAAGTAACCTCAAATTTTGCAGTTGTAGG